ATCTACGGCAGTAGTTAGGCTCGGAGACGAAGGGGGTCTGTATGTGTGTATATGGTGTATTAAGTGCTATATGGATTGAACTATAAGCTCAATAATCTAACGTTCAATTATATTTTTTTATTTTACGATAAGAGCTCTTAAATTTCCTCAGGGTCAGGAATCATGAATCGCTAAATTGCAAAACAGGGTGGACTTCGTCATTTCTTGCCCCCCTCTACAGGGGGGGGGCAAGACTTCTTAAGGGAGAGGCATGCCCCCCCCTTAATCAGGCTAGGGGGGGCTGGCCCCCCTGGCCCCCCCTCTAGTTGCGCGCCTGACGTTTATGTTTTTTATATTAGTATGCTGAGTTTCCCACGAAATATTGCATTGTGAAGATTATATATATATACTGATACTTTACGATATGAATATATTACAGATTCTATAAATATGTTGAGAGTTAAGCTTGAATATCTTCTCTTGTTCCTGGTTCTTATCAGACTGGCTCCTGGATTCTCTTTTCATCCTTCCCGGATTTTATCCTTCCATCTCTTACGGATTCTTAGTTTGTGATCTCTACAGGGGTCCCTCATAAGTCTAGGGTTCTCAGGAGGTCGAGACTGATAGATAATCGGTGAGGTACAGGGTGTCCCACGAAACATGACACTAGCAAGACGAATTGAAAGTCGTCTTTCAACTTTTAAGTTATTGGTGACGTTCAGTCTTCAACCTTCTTTTACATGCATGATTCCTGAAACAATAATCACAAAATTCGCCTAGTCCTGCCGTTTCCAAAATGTGGTCTGCCTTTTTTGTGCATTCAATATTACCGGAGATATTAAGAATTTCGTTCAGATTTAATTTTTATAAAATAAAACCAAAATTGTCCAAATCTGAAGGAAATTCATCATATCTCCGGAAATATTGAAAGCACAAAAAAGGCAGACCACAATTTGGAAATGCCAAGACAAGGGGTATTTTGTGATTATTAATTCTAGAATTTTCCTCATAAAAAAAGTTTTCGAAAAATTGCTGCAAATTATTTCAAAGCTCTAAGACGACCTTCAAAATCGTCTAGATATTGTCATGTTTCGTGGGACACCCTGTAGGATGGAAGGATATAGTTTTGCAGAAAAAAAGGTTCTGATTGGATGGTCAACCACTTTTTGCATAAGTTAATTAGATTTAAAATTTGGTGATGGTGATAAGGACCAAACCTCTATAGAGTAAAAAAACAGCTTTTAGTTCCACATTTATTGAAGACGTTTTTTAGATCGACCTTCACCCCCACTTTATACTCATACTGCTTACATACGTCATACCTTTAAGCTTAAACAGTTTTGTTAAAATATTAAAACTTCAACTTCAATCTTAACTACCTGGCCTTCCGGTGTATACCCAGCACATCCACTGTATGGGTATTTTCAACATGAGGGAATTATTCACATGTGAACATTCATAAACTCATTATCAAACAGAGCAGTAAACTGCATAGTTAGTTAAATATGTTTAAAAATTATTTAATTGTGAACATAACATTTAATATTTCAGAAGTATGTAACTATTCATTCAAATATTCCTCTACTTTTGTGGGTCCCTTTTTTCGGCTAATGTATAGTGGCTGATAGTGGCATTGATTAGCCACAGGATGGTAGCCCTGCGTGGATCGTGTATTGGTTGAGAAATTGATCAATTGATTGCTAGTGTAGTGTCTGTATTGACACAGATAGAAAACAAGACTTACTTTATTTACTCCATGAGGATTGGATCATCTTTTGTATTCTCAATGATAAGGAGTGTTTGCTGTTTCAATGAGCAGAGAATAGAATTTAGTTTACACTCCAGTTGCAAATTGATAAGTGTAAAATGACAATGACTCATAAGACTAGCCTTTTCTTACTAGGCGGTGGTAACATAAAAGATCTTACTGCTCTGAAAGCTGTTGATTGGTTTGCCGAAAAATATCTGCCAAAAGACTTAAGTTCAGTGAATATTAAGTTTCCAAGGGAAAAACTTGACTATGGACTAAAAACTCAGAATCCCATAATGACTGATAAAGAATGGGAGGAAAGATCCAAAAGCATAAAGGATTCCAAGGAGAAAACTTGCTTTGACACTCACAAAACACTGCCCAAGCACAGAGGAATCAGGAATTTGATTTTATCTTGTTAATGGGCCAATCCAAAAGATATGTGCACATTGAAGTCAAGGCAGGAGAGGCTGGGGGCAAAGATTGGGATAGACAGTTGGAAAGGGGAAAATTTTTCTGCATGGAAGTTTTTCAATACCTGGGACAAGAACATTACAAAGATTGGAAATTTATTCCAATCGCTGCTTTTCCAAATGCTCCTAATTGCTCTGAGGTGATGATTTATTTTATTATATCATTTGCTATTTCCTGGTTCAATCCTTATAGCAGGATAGTGGTAAGGCCGTAACTCTCAAATCCAACCATTAAGTCATGTGATAAGTTCTATCTATCTATCATAGGCCCCAATCAACAATATCCATACATATTTTAAGTACTAAACCACGAAACCTATTACAGACAATCACACCTTTTGTTCTGCACATTTAACTGCTATACAATTACAATCTGCTCATGCTATCTATATTGTGGGTTAGGCTAGGTTGGGATTATATCTGGGCGGAGAGCTGCGGCTAGAATGGGCCTCTTTTTCAGGGGTCGTCAAGGTTTTGTGATTTAAACAAATAGATATTTCTTTATCACCTAAGGTTTTGGGCCAATATTCGAGTTATGGTCTTACCACAAATATATCTATTTTACTATTTTTGTGCACTTTATCAAATTCAAATTGATCTGATAAGCTATTTTAGTGTAAGAATTTCTTTTTTTTCCTAAATAACCTATATATTGTTAAGGACAAAAATCACTAACTTGAACTTCGATTCTTCCCTTTTGACGGAATGTTCTTGGCATTCCTGCCAGCTCAATTCTAATTTCCACATGCATGTTTAAAGTAAAAAAGAACTGAAAATATGTTGACCGTACACCTTAACAAATTATTACTTTTATAGGTAAAGGGGGCAACCACTTTCCTTAAAAACCATCCTGATGGCTTTATCCTGACAAAAATGGAGATGGAGATGAAAGAAAGCATTGAGAACATTATAACAAGTCCACTGGATCCTAAATATGAAATTGGAGATTCATATGCAAATCTAGTTAAGTTTCTTATAGCATCAGCATACTGTGCTAAAGCTGATGAAACATTAACTCTTGCTCCCTTGGACCTCATTGACTGATGCTAATGCTATTGGAACTGGAGCTGAAAGTGATCTTACAGTTATCAAGCCATCATTCAAAAATCTAAAGGAAAAAGCTGTTAGTTCTGTGGAGAGCATGCTATTCTGGAATGAAGAGCAAGCAGAAGTCTTATTCAGTGATGTTTCAAGATGCATTGTGACGGGTGAATATGGTTCTGGGAAAACTTGGATTGTCCTAGAGAAAATGAAAAGACTAATATTAAACAAAGGTGGAGATAATCATCGTGGCATATTTATATCCTGCTTATTGCCGCTTTATAATTACAGTGACAAATTTGTTCCTCCAATTTATAACATTATCATGAGAGAGCATTTTGATAAATTGGTAAACAATCTTAGACAAGCCAATGGAATTGATGTTCAATGGAAGTTTTACAGTGCACAGGAAATTTGTGAGAAAATGGGCACTCCTGTGACTGAGGAGGGGTTTTATTTAAATCTTCAACAGTTTATCAAGAATTTAAGCCAAGGTAATAATCTGCCACTTAGTGATTATTAAACAAAATCATTAGTTCAAAGAAGATTGGGCAAATGTTTCAAGTCAAACAGATCTTTTGAACTTTTTAATAAATAATTAAAGCTTAATTTGGTTATAATGGAACTCTTAGCATTCTCTAATACTAGCCAAGAGTTCAGAAATTTGAGTTCAACTTTCCAAGTTTGAATAAGGATAAAACCTCAATTATAAATCCTCTTTGAGACAGACTGTATATATTTGAATTGTTTGATTTCAGTTTCATCCATTCTTTTAATGGTTCCAGATCAGATCTCTCTTTTTTCATGTTAAAATATTGAGAAGGTTAAACTATTTCAAGGATGTTTAACTTTTGTCTACAATAAGAAAAGTTATCCTCCTTTAGCTGTAATATCAGCTATAAGAAATTAAAGCTAGCAAAAGGTAAATTTGAATTATTTAGAAGACGGAGTGACATCAGTGTTTTGTGATGAGTTTGGAGATGGAATGATCAAAAGGGAATGGGAAGATACATCAGAAAATCATATGAATGAGGAAATTCTTAGAAATGTTGTGATAAATCTAAATGATAATCACTGTCCAGAAATCAAAACCTTGATAATATCTCTTCATCCAAATTGTGATGTAAAAGCATTCCAACATTGTGGGGTTTCCACAATATACCTTAAGAATGTTATGAGAAACACAGCAAACATCTATAATATAAACCAAGAATCATTCAGAGGCAAGACTTTTCACAATTTTAGGACCTCAACCGACAAAACTTGAATTAGAACTTGAAGACCTTGGATTCTATAGTCAAGCACTTGAACTGGTTTCAAGTAAGAAGTTTGTATGCATTTACCCAGAAGTTAATTTTGACTTCAAGACATTTACGACAGAGTTAAGAGCAAGAAACATTCCATTGTTTGAATATTGTAAAAAAGAGCATTCAGCAAATCTAACTGACTTTCTTGGTGCTGACGAGGGTTGTTTCTTGACTAGATATGAAAATCTACGGGGTGCAGAATCCACCACAGTTCTTGCCTTTTGTGATTCATCACAAGACTTAGGATTACAGTCGATGAGAGCTTCAGTGCACTTGGCAAATAATTTGCCAGAAGGTCTCATTAAATCCTTTTCAGAACCTGAACCTGGACTTCTCGTGATAAAAGGTACCTTGGAGGATTCATCCCTCTACAGAAAAGTTCTAACTGAGCTGAAAAAAGAAAACATTCAAAATTTATCTTTGTTCTTGAAAATCACACCAATTTTCTGGATATTGTGAAAGGACAACTCAAAAATGACCTCCATGCATATTCTGAACATAATGAACCTACTCTAAAAGATCTGAAGAAAAACTTGAATATTCTTCAGTATGGATGTTTGCTGTATATTCTGCCCTCTAAGTATAGATATGATTTACTGACGATGCTGATGGGATTTCAGCTTCCTCTTGTGCATTTCATAGTTGAACCTAAACTTCTCCATACCTTTGTGACCATTAAATGCTTGCACTTTTAAAATCATAAGATATCATGCATGATATCTTTTTTTATGATCCGAGAGTTACTTTTGAAAACCATTATTCCTGTTTCGAGGATTTTTGATAATGAAGACGACATTTTCATATTTTCCAGGAATGTTCGGAAATCCAGCCCCAGCTGTAAAAACAAGTTGTAAGCTAAATGTTGTCTTAAAAACTTTAAACTTTGAATTCTGTGATATCTGACAGTATAATTTTAAATATCAAGGGCTTACACCATTATTTTGCAAAGATATAGGGAGTGCTGCGAGTATTTGTAACTGTAAAAAATATTGTAGAATTAATGATTCTCTTTGAAGAAATACGCAAAGGAATTGAGTATTTGCCACAAACTCTGATTTTCTATTCCCTATATCTTTACAACACAATGTCGTAGACCTTTAATATTTAAAATTATGAAATATATTGGATGAAAAAATGTAAGTTTTGTGGCAAAGACATTCCTATTGAATTTCTCTTTTTTTTCAGTGTCGAAAATCGCCTAATGTATTAGTATTATTCATTTATTGGAAATTATAATGTTATTAATCGGTGAGCCCTTGTTATTTTTAAATGTGATATTATGGTTCTCTATAATAGTGTAGTTATTCCTGTTTTTCTATCTAAATATTGAATATTTGTGGTTCTCTATAATAGTGGAGTTATTCCTGTTTTTATATCTGAATATTGAATATTTGTGGTTCTCTATAATAGTGGAGTTATTCCTGTTTTTCTATCTGAATATTGATTATTTGTGGTTCTCTATAATAGTGGAGTTATTCCTGTTTTTATATCTGAATATTGAATATTTGTGGTTCTCTATAATAGTGGAGTTATTCCTGTTTTTCTATCTGAATATTGATTATTTTCTCTATAATAGTGGAGTTATTCCTGTTTTTCTATCTGAATAATAAATATTTGTGTTTCTCTATAATAGTGGGATTATTCTTGTTTTTTTACCTGGATATTTTTTAAAACTTTTTTCCCTCTCTTTGCTATTATGCCAGTTTATTTTGAGAATTACAATATTTTTACAACATTAAACCATGAATTTCTCTTTTGTATTTAATCTTCTATTCAATTTTCTATTTTTGATCCTTAAAACTAGTAAAACCTAAAATATAGAAACTCTAAAATTTCAGAATTTGAGAGCCTGCGTACTTTTTAAACCTATCTTCCTAACTACAACTTCTGAAAGAAGTATACAAATCCTCCTGAACCCCTATTTCTTTATTCCTTTATTTCTATTTCCTCTAAACATTAACCCTTAAATCCTTCAGCAAATATACCTTCAATCCAGACACTAATTCCCTCAAATCCTCCAGCAAATATACCTTGAATCCAGACACTAATTCCCTCAAATCCTCACGCATAATAAATAAAACACAACTTATTGAATAAAACAGCCAAATTAATTATCAGAAGCAAACGTGACATAACATGAGAATCACTACCTGGAATACCAGAAGCCTTGGAACGCTCCAAGGCCAGAGCTTGGAACATCATTGCTTGTACTCAATATTCATCCTTCGTATTTATCAAAGGGGGGGACAGTGGGCACTGCAGGGCCCCCTTCTTTAACTAATTAAAATAAATAATAAAATAAAATAAAGGCAGCATGCGAAATATTTTAAAAGAATGTATCTAAAGGTTTCCTGTGAAAAGTTGCAGCTGCCATCTCCCTTTAGTTACGCCCCAAATTGTCCGGGTGGAGGGATGTCCCTCTTTTGCCCTCTAGCCACTCCTCATAAGGTTTTTGTGTTTATTTTGAAGACGATATTCATATTCTTTGTTTATACCAATCAGGCGTCCAAAATCATATTAGATTATCTCCAATCTTTAAAGCCAAAATACACAGATAATACTAGAAAATCTAGCATTTTCTGCCAAACAAATTTTCTTTTAACCTTATTAAAATTTTCGAAATGATATTCTTCTTAAATTTTATTATTTGTCCCCCGTAATTTAGACCCATTGACGCGGTCTAATTGGATGTGGGACACACTCTATATATATTTAAAGTTGAAATATATCTATTTGATACAAGTGTGTCCCACGTAACATAACAGCAGCAAGACGATTTGAAAGTCGTCTTTGATCTTAGAAATTATTTGAGACATTCTGTCGTCAACTTTCTTTGACATGATTGATTCTTGAAGTAATAACCACAAAGTTATCCATGGCAATTGGAATTTCCAAAATGTGGCGTGCTTTTTTTGTGCTGTCAATATTACCGGAGATATTGAGAATTGCGTTTAGATTTTATTTTTATTAAATAAATCAACAGGGTGTCCCGGAATGTACATGGGAATTAAGACACAACTTTAATTTCCGATAATTAGTTACAAGTACAGCTGGTGTCCCAATAAACATGGGAATTGAGAGACGGCTTGAAAGTCGTTTTTGATTTCTGATATTTAAGGCATGGCAAAGAAAGTAAAAACACGAATGTCGGTAAAATTTTTGAACGAATTTTGCGAAAATTTCAAACCAATTTTGCGAAAGTTTCGAACGAATTTTGCGAATTTCGCGAAAATGAATTAAAATTTTCGTTTTCGTTCACATTTTCGTTGGATGAACAAAACTTTAGCGAAAAAGATTGAAAGAATTTCGATATTTGTTGGATCAGTAGGATATACATTGCAAACACCCAGACAAGCAAACTTTACATAAATATATGCTCACCTAATTTTACACGATTTTTATATGCTTTTAAGATACAAAAGTTGTCTTCCCAGTTTTTTTTGAATGCTTTTTTTGATGCTAAACAAATTCTGCTCCACTTTCTAACCCCCCCCCCCTCCAACACCCAACCTCCCCCCATACCCGACAAAATCCCCCCATTCCCCACCTAACCCCCCTTCCCAATGCACCTAACCTCCTTTCCTTAATTCCTTATCATAGTCACGTCTTTTCTCTATTTTAAAGTCACAGTTGACTCACCTTTACAGCTAATACACCTCTCCTCCCCTTCCTCTCCCCATCACGTCTCCCTCCCCTTCGCCTCTCCTTCCCATCCCATTTCCATCCCATTCCCATCCCATTCCCATCCCATTCCCATCCCATTCCCATCCCATTCCCATCTCATTTCATCCCATTCCCATCCCATTCCCATCCCATTCCCATCCCATTCCCATCCCATTCCCATCCCATTCCCTTCCCTTCCCTGTATTCTCTCCTCTACTCCACTTCCATCCCTCCCTCACCCCTTCCCACCACCTACTCCACCTATCTTGACTTTTAAAGGTTCCCAGTGTGACTCCCTGGAGTTTGAATCCAAATAAGACAAAAGGTCGAAGATGTAAAGTCGAACTGAGGCTCGAGATGTTACCATGCCAGAGTTCAATATAATTATAAGGGATATCTCTATCTGTAGCTTACCTACCGCGTCAATGGGTCTAAATTACGATTTGGGGGACAAATCAGAAAATTCAAGAAGAATGAATCATTTTGAAAAATTTAATAAGGCTAATATAAATTTTTTTATGCAGAAAATGCTAGATTTTTCGAGTATTATGTGCGTATTTAAGTGTTAAAGATTGGAGATAATCTAATTTGATATGGGACGCTCTGTAGCTCTTGTTAAAACTTCTATATCTCTTTCTTTAGCTTACTTGGCTCTTGTTAAAACTTCTTTATCTCTTTCTGTAGCTTACCTAACTCTTGTTAAAACTTCTATATCACTTTCTGTAGCTTACCTAACTCTTGTTAAAACTGCTATGTCTCTTTTTGTAACATATCTTACTCTTGTTAAGACTTCTATTTCTCTTCTTGTAATTTACCTAACTCTTGTTAAAACTTCTATATCACTTCTTGTAATTTACCTAACTCTTGTTAAAACTGCTATCTCTCTTCTTGTAACATATCTAACTCTTGTTAAAACTTCTATTTCTCTTCTTGTAATTTACCTAACTCTTGTTAAAACTTCTATATCACTTCTTGTAACATATCTTACTCTTGTTAAAACTTCTATTTCTCTTCTTGATACCTACCTAGTCCTATAAAATTTAAATTTAAATTTCCTAATTTTCCTTTTAACTTCTTCATCATAATTATATAATATAATCTTTTGTGGTGACCACATTGACTTATAGAGTCAAAACTCAAAACTCTTCTGTAACATCTAGGTCTTAAATCTCAAGAACTGAAAAGGGTCAATTTGCTTTTTCAGTTTCTTTATTGTTATTTGTCCCGACATTTTATACCAAATTCCAACTATATAATAGGTTGGTTAAGAGAAAATATGACCTCCCTTACGTCCAGACAGAGAATGACACGATGCAAGTTCACAGATTTCACGATTCATTTAGTGATAAATTGATCAATTGATCAGCAATTTTCAAGATCAATTTATCAAAAGTAATAGATAAAAGTTCACTTTTCAATTATTTCTACTATGATCATACTTATCATACTTATCATACTTATCATACTTATAAAATACTTATAAAATGTAAGTAGTTTTAAAAATATTCTATCTAAAATTTAAAGTCTTACAAAATTTAATCGAAAACCAATTAAAATTTTTTTAAAATCATATTTTGGTTTGACTGAAGAAAATTTATTTTGATGAGATAAAAAAATGTCCATTGGGCTTAACTTGTTAGTAGGTTGCAAATATGTTCTTTTTGACATAAATATTAATAAGTTTTTCGTGAGTTTCTTTAGGTGTATTTTTTTGGTGTCTAGATACAAAGTATGTTTGCTAATTAAAAAATTAAAAAAGAAACTGGAGTTGGGGGGGGGGGGGAAGGTAGACGGCCCCACTAGACCCTCAGCTCCTCATCATCTCTTGAACTGAAAACCCCTGTCAGGACATTGTAAACATCAAATTAAAGAAGTTGTTCAAGTGTGTTAAAATTTGTTAATATTTGTTGAAAAATTTCTGGTATAATTATATCATTATTTTTATAGTCTTTTATTTGATATTATTTACTCAGAAGGTTAAAAAATATTTTCAAATCTTATTTTGCAAGTTTTTTACGTTGTATCATAAACTATTTTGCGTTAATACAAGGAGCCGCAAAAAATTAGGTTGATGAAACCGGAGAGCTAGTCAAAGGGACTGTACGCGCAATTTCAATTGACCCTTCGTGCAAATACTGAATCTCTAATTCACAACGGTACCCTTGAAACCTTACTTTGATAAATAATGTGGTAGGCACAGCCGTTATATTACGGTTCAAAGTGTTTAATTCTGATAATTCCTACATGTTT